ATACTTCGGTGCAGACAATGAAATTTCCACACGATTAGTTTCCTGACGTTTTTTCCAGTTCGAATCATTACCGAGATAGTTTGAAGGCAATGAAATTAGTGAAACTAAGGAATAAAATTGAACAAGATTGACAAAATTTCGTGAATGGTATTTTGCGAATATCTGTGGAACTGATGGCCTCAGAAAATTCTTCCACAGCAAAATTGAAGTTGACAAAAAAATTGAAATTGTGAAATTTGATGAATTGAATTGGTTTGAATTAAATTGAATTCATTGCATTAAAAATTGAAATTTGATGGACAGTTTAGTAGTCATTTTAGAAGAGCGACAGCCAATTCGATTTAGAATGACGAAAAATCATGAAGTTTCAAATTTCATGAAAAATTCAATGGAATTTCAAGCTTTCAAGCAGCAGAAAGACGAAAATTTTTCAACTTACTTAGATTTTAAATCAAAACATGAATATTTACTATATTACACTGAATTTTCAATTAATTGCTACTCATTTTGCTACTAATTTTCATGGAATAATTGAACTAAAATTCACAGCAAAATAAGATGAAGATTCATCGTGAACTACTGAAGTGAGATTTCTCATTTATTGAAGATCGATTATATACGTCTGAAAACGAGTAATGAGTGCAAAAAAATTAATTGTTCATTGTTCGTTTGCCCCGTAAACGTGTGAAATGATGAAAATAGTCCAGGGCCTCCAATTTTGGAGGTACAGAGTTTTTTTCAAAATTTCTGAAAAAATGTGTACAATAACAATTACGAGTTAGTTATTTGAGTTAGTTAGTTAATAACAATTATGTTTTGTTTAACATGAAAATTTGCGCGATTCATCTAAAATCGGCAGAAAAATTATTCTTAAAATATTTGAAATATATTCTCAATTATTTCAGAAACATTTTTCTGGCTATTTTACATGAATTTTTTATTTATTGTTAATTTTTTATTTAAAAAGCTAACTCGTAATTGTTATTACACACAATTTTTAAAAAACTTTAGCTCGAAAGTTGGAAGCCCTGGACTATTTTTAATATTTTAAGCGTCTGCGGGGCAAACAAACAATAAACAATTAATTTTTTTCCACTAATTATTCATATTATGTTTTTAGACATATATAATTGATCTTTAATGTATGAGAAATCTCATTACAATAGCCCACGACTTTTAAAACTCATAGTCTCCCCTTAAATTCAGTAATGGTTTGGCCTCCCATTTTTTATGCAAAAGAATGATTATACATAAAAAAATCTCCACTCGTTAATTATCATACGCACCACGAACGATCACAGTCTAAAACGAAAATGTCTTAAATTCGACAATAACTAGTGAAGAAAAGAAATTTCAATTGACATTAACTCGAAACAATGATTCTTTTAATCAAGAAAAATGTAAGAGTGAAACGTAAATGCAAGGTAGGACACGAGCAACAAACATCGCAAAAACATCGCACAATTGTTGAAATCGTGTATTAATTCCTAATGCCTCATTTAATCATTACTATGTACAGAAGAGTCTTTCTATATGGTATATCGAGTCCTTAATCCATTAATCATTATACACATTACATAGACTTAGTGTATGCGGGTTAGTACGATACGTGGAAACGGGGGGCCCGAGCTGGCACTGAATCTCATAATTATTATTATCGTTTACCTTTCTTTCCCTATCGTTTTTTTGTCTGTAACATATACAAATATAAATGTCTCTCTTTATGGTGTTTATGTTTCCTATTATTCTCCAACAAATTCTGTATAGAATGAAATAAAGAGTCGAGTGAAAATTTTGTTCCAATTTTTATTCGATAATTCGGAATAAATTAGTGGAATGATGAAAAACAGAAGATAAGTTCGGAATAAATATTCTGAAAATATCTTCCAAGAATAAAGGCATGGAAGGATGAATCATGAGAATTATTATGTAAAAAAAATTATCACGTATGGAAAAATTTTATAGAAAACCTTAGCGAATTCAATAGGAAATTCTATTGGGATTCTATTAAAATTCTATTTGGTTTTCGCTTAGATTCTATTAGATATTTGATAAGAAAACATCAATAGTCTACAGTTTTTCTGATTTTTTCTGTTGAGAATTTTTCTTCCAAAATTATTGGGCACAGATTTTATAAGTTTTTTCCGCTATATTATGTTGTGTTTTGCATTACAGGATCGAAGTGAAAAATAAATTAGAAAATGCACGCTCAAGTATTTTTATAGAAAAAATTATAAGAGAATATTCATATAGAAAAATCGAAATCTATTGACAATTCGAAATCTATTGAGCGCAAAAAACAAATATAATTTCAACGAGAATTCCCTAGAATGTTAATAGAATTCCAATAGAATTTTCTAGCAATATCGCTAAGTTTTGCTATTGAATTTTTTCATCTATGATGGGCTATAAAAAAATTTTCGTGTATTTTTTCTCTTCATCTACTGGCTTTTGAGATATTTCCAGAAGTCTATATAAAATTCTCTAAAGCAATCCATATTTCTCTCCACTGACTCGTATCTTGTTTTGTGAATATCCAAGGAGTGATTAAATTCTCCAAAATTTATTAACATTTTTCTGTGGAACATTTGATTTCTCACGAAAAAGATCTATTTTTTCAAAAACCCAGTGATTACTGGCATATTTCTAGAATAATTTGTACAAAATTTTCGAACCCAACCCCTGTTTTTCACCACGTACAAAAAGAAAATACTCTCAATATCTCAAGTCCATGAAAAACGTCATTTATTCCATAAAAATATTCACAAAATAAATTTAATAAAATTATAAACTCATCTCATTTATTTCACTTTATACAGAAATTAAATATTCTCCTATTGTTTATTAATTCAAAAATAATCAACAAAGTTGCGTCGAGAGTGCGGATTTCAGTACCACCAGAGAGTCGTCACGTTCCTCTCGCTAAGTCGTATCCGAAAAACATTTTTCCAAAATCTCTGATGTTTTTTCTTTAATTACTCTGTTGTGACATTAGCATTCATATATATTTTCGTTTCGTTTTAGCGAATACAGTAGCGATAATAATGAAGATAAACGGGATTTCAGTGGACCGACGGAGCAAAGTAAATGTGTAAAAAAATAATTTTCATGATTTTTTGAAGAATCAGCTTCAAAATGATAAAACGTAACAATTCGATTCTTTATTTTCTTCAATTTGGTTTATTTTCAAAACAGCGAATGTTACGAGAAACTATCAAAACATTTTTTTTTTTAGAAAATTATATTCACTAAAGAAAGAATGTTTCGAAAAGTTTCATCTGAGTTGTTAAGCTATTCTGAGAAAATATTAGAAGCCTTTTTTTTAGGGAACTGTTACATTTAAAAAAACGTCTGATATTTTCTTCAAAAATCACTCGTTAGAAAAATGAAGTCATTAATAACGAAAATGTCGAATCTCACTCGTTACGTTTTGCCACTTTAGCAAAGAGTCAAATGAGAAAATTGAACGATGAGATTGTTTAAAAATCGTGTCACGTCCTTCATCGGTGCAGATCGATTACAGGTGCAATGAGGTACAGTGATATATCTTGTTTATTGATTAATGATTATTAATATTGATGCGAAAAGCACCGAGAAGTGAACCAATCGATAATGTCCTTTGTGAAATTTTCTGAATTATTAATAAGTTTCTTCTGTCGTTTCGTTATTTAAAAAATGATTTTTCAGTGGGAATAGGAGGTTTTTTTTTCTGTTTGTTGAAGGGCTCTGACATCTAATCGTTAATATCCCGATATACGTATACGAATAATATGTATATCAATACATAATTTTTGTAATTAATTTTTCTTGTTAAATTTATTTAGTTGAATTCATTGCCATCCGCTCGAGGTTTGTTCAATTAAAACTCTCGTATTTATATCATATAACGCACTCTCTCACTCAGATTCTCTCATCAATAATTAATTAATTACTTTTTGTTCAGTTAAGCCAAGATCAAATGATTACTTTTCGAGTTATGTATTTTTATTTTTCCCTTTTTTCGTTTTATATATATTTTTTTAATTCATCTGGTTTCACTATCATCTTTAATCAGCCTGACGCGCACTTGTTTCTTTAATCATAATTATCAATCACTTTCGTCTCTCGCTGCCCACCAATCATCATTTACAAATTCTAATTCGATTAATTCCGGTACGAATGAATACGAAACTACTTATGAGATAAAATCCTAGGCTATACAGGCTACCAAAAAATTTATTATTTAGATTTTTCGAGGAGACACTGTGATTGGGTACGTCAGAGTTTTATGATAATAAATCGCTTTTTTTTTATCTCAGTCAATTAATTTATTTCTCACTACAAACTTGTGATGGAGTGGTCAAGAACAGACGATAAGTCCAGATTTTTTTGTAAATAACTTAGGAACTGTCCTGTGTGTGCTTTAAACTAATGACTGCAGAGGATAATATCAGGACAGCCTCTGCGAAACTGAGACAATTCTCTACAAGAAAATTTCTTCATCATTTCTCTTAAACTCACTCATTATGGAGATAATTTCATGCAGATTAACTTGTAAATATCTGCACCAGTGAGTTTCAAGAAAAATGTCAAGAGGTACGTATGAAAAAATTCAATAGAGAACCTAGCGAATTCGCTCGAAAATTCTATTGGAATTCTATTAAAAAATTCTATTTTTTGCGCTGATTCTATCGGATATTCGATAAGAAAAAGTCAATAGATTTCGAATTTCTTTTTGATTTGAATTTCTCCTCAGATTTTTTTATAAGCTTGCTTGGGCATCAATTTTCTAAGTCTTTTCCACTCAGATTCTGAAAGGCAAAATAAAACAAAATTCAACGGAAAAAACTTACCCAATAATTCCAATAGAAAAAATCTCAAGAGAAACATTCGAACAGAAATTCAAAATATTTTACTTACTTTTTCGTATCAAATATGCAATAGAATCTGCGTAAAAAACAAGTAGAATTTCTCAATTGCAATATAAATCCTATAGAAAACCCATAGAATTCCTATAGAATTCCAACAGAATTTTCTACCGAATTTTTTCATGCATGTATGTTATGTAGAAAATTTTATTCTTCATTAACTTTTCTTCTGGAAAGTATTCTGTTCTGAACTACTTCGATTCAAGAAAAAATGTCAGCAGATCTTCGACATTGAATTTTATTTTCTATGAAAAAGATTTCTAGGTAAATATATAAAATTTGCAACATAATCAGTGAATCCACGTTCTGGACCACTTGAGCTCTTGCGAAACTAAAGCAATTCTCTTCAAAATAAGCTCTCTCGATAATCTCTCTTAAACTCATTCATCTTGGGGGCAATTTCCTACAGATTTGTTTGCGGAAGTCTTGAGAAGTAGGTTCGAAACAGAATATCAAAAGATCTTTTCTGTAGAAAATTTCATTTTCTAAACAAAATGGTCTCTTGATCCATCGTTTTATGCCCACATCTGTGGGAGATATTTGCAAAATAATCGGCAAATCCATTTGCTCGAAACCACTTCATAATTAAAATGTTCTGTTCACTTTCTGGTTTTTTATAAAAACCCAAATATGGACAGCTAAACACCTCCTTTAATTGAAATTACCAAAAAAGTCAATTGTGATGTTATTTTCAATAAAAATAAATTTTCCCGTGAATTCCATCCCACTAATTTCATCTGACGTGCCCTATCCAGTCGTCTCGGTAATTTATTCCTAAACATACTGCCGGGAACTCGACTGAACCACGTTTTTTTCACCTCACTCTCGCTCTCTCTACAATCTCTACTATCTCGTATATTAAATATCTACATTGTTGCTCCCACAAGCTGGATCCATAAAATCTCATTCATTCGATAGAATAGCTCTCATTAATTCATCGATTCGTGAAACCTAATCCAAGGATCCAGTCTCATATCGAGCAAATGTCACAGTGAAAATATTTTTTCGAAAATTACAATTGGATTTTTACTACTTAATTCTTATCATTTTTCTTTTTCGCAAAAATATTTTTACAGTGATTCAACTCTTCTCACGAGTTTAATCTAGACGTATAATATATTTATAGATAATTTTTTGCCTATTATACGAAATATACACAAACTGAGGATTTTTCATTTCAAAAACGTAAAATAAAGCGAAAAAATTACAAAATCGTTGTCATTTGAGTTTTTTATCTTTAATCCTTGAATAAAGATATGGATCTTCAATTATTCGAGTTTATAATTTTTCTCCCTAATTCATCGATTTGAGTACAATCTCTACTAATTCACTTAAAGTCTTCATGATCGCTTTTTACTTGTAAATTTTAAACTTCGATATTGCAACATTCTTTATTTGGATATGGTGAGTGACTTTTGTTTCGTTTTTTTTTAATTCCTTAAATCCTTACGTAGGGGTAGGTGTCTAAGGGGCTAGTAGAACGACTTCACGGGCTCGGGGGACACGAGGGGGTGGGGTAATGTTGCCTAGTAGGTGGAGTACTACGCTTCGATCTGATCATCGGGCGTCATTATGTCAGGGGCCATCGAGAGGTCCTCGGCCATGTCCTCGTCTTGGCCTGAGTCCTGGCCGTGACTCTCTGGGTACTCTCGATCATCAACACCCTCGTCGTCGTGGTCGTGCTCCGTTTGAGCTTCTAGAAGCTCACGTTTTATTAATCTTGAGAGTTTTCCTCCTTCCGGGCTTTGACCCTCTTGTTTTATGTGCATTCCTGGTTCATCCAGTGGTGACCTGCTGAAATTCATGAGGCGTTTTAGTACAAAATGTACAGTAGTTCCTTGTTTGAAAAAAATAACCAGAGGAAAATTTAATTGGGGGGGGGGAGGGGTGAAAAATCTTCGGTGGTGATGTACGTGATGTACAGAGATTTTTACAATTGGATATTTTCTCAGCTTTGAAAGAGGTCTTTCGATGTTTCATCATGAAAACAGTTGGCATGAGAAACCTTCGCAAGAAAAATCTTGGTATCTGATCTAGAATGGTTCCACTACTTCTCTAACGAGATTAAAAAAGGTCGGGTATAACTAATTACCAGTATTTATCTACACAGGGTATCATAGAAACATCTTCCACCCTTTTAATGAGTGAAAGAGGATGAAATTCTCAGTCAAAAGTTTCTTTTCCACTTTTGGCGCCGAACCTTGATGAATTACTACGTGTTACACGAATAAAAAAATCGTATATAAATTTTCTGTACGGATTGCGTATAGAATTTCTATAGGATTTTCGTATATGATATTCGGATATTTTTTATACAAATTATTTCTATACGATTCCTATAGGTTTGATCCTATACGACCCACTGCCACATGTATAGAAACATTTCGTATGGAGTTGCGATATTTCTCTACGTTTTTCTCTGAAGCGTTTAGATATCTTTCGTATGAAAACAAAACTTTATGTAAAAATTTATGTATAGAAATAATTCGTACAAAAAATATTCATATAGAAATATCCGAATATCATATACGGAAATCCTATAGAATTTCTATACGCAATCCGCATAGAAATTTTCTTTACGATTCTTTCGTAAGTGTATTACTTGATGAATTTGGCCAATGGTGGTGGTGCTGGACTGGACTAATGGTGGCGTAACCACAGAGGGTTTTGAAGGATTTGTTGTAAAACATTTCTCGTGGGAAATTTTCAAATTGGATGGTTCCCAATGAATGAATGAATCTAATGAATGAGTTATTTATTGTGAAATTATGTGTCATATGATAGGAGAATGATCATTGATAAAAATCTCGATTTTTTATCTAGAACGGTTTCACTGATTGCTCAGAGAAATAGAAAATTGCGAAGGCAATTTGCGTAACTATAAAAATTGCTCATAAGGATTTGAAAAAAGTTCAAGATTGGCTGAAAACAGTAAAAAAATCAGTTTCATAAGATTATTGTTATCGTACGCTATAATAATTTCATGATTTTCGTAAAATGGAAATATGTATAGTTTTATTTGAAAAAATAACTTACATTAAATCATTATGTTGCATAACATGTTCCTTATCTGGACTTGTTGCAGTTGACGTGCACATTGAATTATTCAGAAATCCCATGTTCGACTCACCCAATGCAGCCTGGAAATACTCAAATTGCATTAGAGGATTAGTTAGCAGTTCGTAGTACCCAGATCCCTACACATAAAACGTCATCGCAGTGAATCAGAGTTGAGAGATTAATTATTCACTGAGGTTAAGAAATGAAGTTGAGGCATGGAAATTATTCAACGGTACATTCGTTATCGGAAAAGGGAAATAACTCTCATATTAATAATTGATAGTTCCTCAATAATTCCACAAAACTATTATTTTCATTGCCTTTATATCCACAGAATATGATCGATCAATGTAATTCAGTAGTGAAATCATGAAAGAAGATTGATGGAAGAATTTCTGACGAAATATTTCCCCATATAAATATTTTAAACGAATGGGGTTTGAAGGACTTGTTGGAAGATCTTTTCCATAGGGAATTTGATGATTTTCAAACAAAGTTCTTTGACATTTGTTCCCAGCCCTTACACTGAGAGAAAAATGACACGGCTCTAAAGCAAATCTTACTTGTGCAAAAAAACTGGTTTGTCAAAAATCACCAAAAAAGAATTTTTTCGTGCCAAACATGAAACGCGTGCGCCGAGATTGAAAATTTTTATTGCAAAAATAGATTTAGTTTTTTCAAGAAAAATTTATTCTCTGTGGAAATAAGAAATGTAACTTCTAGCTCTACTTCTTCTTTTTTCGATGCTCCCATACGTATTTTGCTCTCGGTAAATGTTAGTTTTATATGAACCGAGGGATAATATTTTGTCGTTTTGGCTATTCAATAATCACAGATAAAATGAAATCTTAACGCTCGGCTCTATTGTCTACCGAACATCATTTAAATTGATTTTTTTTCAAATTTTATCTCGAAATTTCAACTCGATGCCCCGTCACTCAGGGACACCCGAAAATTCTGAATTTAGATTTTTTTTTAAGTAAAAAAAAGATCTGAACATTTTGGCAGAACATTCTGCTTTTTAGCATAATCGGAAAATAATTTATTTAAAAAATTGAGTTTGTTTTTACAAAGAACTCAATTTTTATCTGTCAATAAATCAGGAAATGATAGTTTTAATCAATTTCAATTCGGCATGAGTCTTTTGATACAAAGTCTGATGACCTAAAAATGTTCCAAGATATACACATCTAGACATTCACGAGAATTTTCAAAATATTAACCATAAAATTTCCAATTTTTTCAATTCATATTCTTCCATTGTTTCACTACCGAGTTATTTATTACACTGGGGTTAAATATTTACCTGGAGATTGGCGTTGAGTGCTTCACCATACATCGTAGGACTGTGCGTTAGTGTCGGACTCTTCGATGGAACTCCCCTAAATTACAAAAACGAAAAAATGAGTAAATTCAATGACTCAACAACCCTAGGCTCCTGAAATAACTTTACCAATAACATTTAAGTAAAAGTGAGAAAATCGAAATATTATATAAAAGATGGGAAGGAAGAATTTGAAAAATGATGTGTATTATACATATAATATGAATATAATAAAACTATCGAATATTAAGTACACATATACAAAGAGATAAAGAAGAAGCGAAGAGAAAAATTGGAAAATGGATAAGATATCAAAAAGATTGAAAGTGAGAAGATTAAAAATAGAGAAATAGAAAAATGTTAAAAATTTCAAAACTACGAATATCAAAAACTGGTAAAAATGTAATTCTGTTCAGACATTTGTCCTTACCCCAGTGGACACCGAGATCATCGCCAGAGGTCATCGAAATTGTGTGATCGAGTGTTAAATATGTGACAATTAAGTTAAAATAAACGCCTCCATTCTGAGTCACTTTTCATCGGTTTAAAGGAACAATGAAATTCACTTCAATTTGATGGGCTAATAGCTAAAGTGACAGAATGGCTCGAGTTTCTATAATCAGTCTGGGATCACCTGAACTCACCTTTGACCCTTTATCCACCAAAAATAAACGTCGAAACACATTTCCAATCGCTTTGGAAAAAATATGACATCTTATCGATACCGAAATATTCTCAAGTGCTCCAATAAATTATAAGAATTATTTTCATCATGAGCCAATGAAAATCATCTTACAATTTGATAGAATTCCTGGATCGACGGTACGTGCATATTATAAATTCATGCAAAATTTCCTCGGACTGATCATGGAAAATTGCAAGCGTTTTATTGAGAAAGCGAACAAGAAGATTGAGATAAAAAGACTAGAATATTTAGGAAGAGGTAAAAGAGATAAAAATGTCAAAAGTTCAACGACATGAAGATTTTAAAAATGTTAAAAATTTGAACATTGTAAAAAGACATAATGGATAATTTAATAGTCATGGTTATACTCCTGATACCTGAGTGATGATGATGATGAGGGGGTCCGGAGCCAGATTCACCCACGTACTTTGTTTATCCGACCACACACATTGCATTATTTTTACACATGCGCAAGTAGCATTGACGCGGAAACACTCATTGAACTCACACGTTAGGTTTATCAAATTAAATAAATTAGTTACCTCAATTGAAAAAGAAAAAAATTATCTTTTATTCTAAGCAAGATAAGGAAAAAGGAATTTAACTGGGAGATTTAAATGTTTTTTTCTTTTCTCAAACTGGAAATTTTGTCTCGTTATGAATCAGAGCCCTTCTACGAATTTTGAACGTAAATCCAAAGGCCGCAATATTTTCGATGTTTTTTTTCATGTTCTAAGTGTTATTAATGTGTGGAAAATGATATTGTTCCAGTATGAGATTTCCGTACTTCAGTTGTTATAATAGGAATTCGCCTACTTTTTATGAATTCATCTAAAAAAAATTTAATTGAGTAAAACCTATGAGAAACTATTGAAAAAAAAATTGAAACGCAGTTTTTGATGCGAAATTTTCGTACATTTTGCCAAAATTATGTGGTTTCTTTCTCTTACACTTTTTTCTCATTGGGCAAATCGAAAAATAAGACTTAAAATTTCAATTTCACGCTATTAACCAGCACTTTTTGAAAATCTGTTCATTTCTTCGGAAAATTCGAGAAATTTTCAATCAAAATCTTATTTCGGAATTGTTTGCTCATGTGTTAGTCAGTCGTAGTAAATTTTCATTTGAATCGAGTATTCGAAAGTTGGGTTCAAATGACTACTATTCATTTTTAATTGTTCGTCAAACGATTGCATCACATTTTGTAGGCATCTTAAATGTTTTTTAATATGATGATTGAGATAAATTGAGGTAAACACTGATATGATGTACAATTAATATTCGAATCATTATTGAAAGGGTTTGTGGCTGAAGGATATACGACCAAACAATTTTGCGATAGGATTTTGATCGAAAAATCTCTGAATTTTCTGAAAGAAATATCGAATTACCAAAAGAATATAGTTTTCTGTAACGATGACATGTAAAACTGTATTTAGTGGTATTTTATCTGACGAGTTGGTCTCGTTAGCAATAAAACTTTACGCACAAGAATCCACTTTACGCACGACCTCTGAACTCTGCACACACACTGATAGAATGGGTAATTTATTCCAAAGGAAATTCTTTAACTATTAATGAATGGTAGAGTTGAATATGATCAAATAAATATTTGTTAATGATTAACAAATAGTTCCCTTGAAAGGTGACATTCGAGTGAAACAAGGCTCCTCAAATATGCATTTGTTAACTATTAACGAATGAACATTTGGTGAGTACGAATAGACCCTAGCCTCCACCCAAATCCTTTTGTTAACAATTACATTTGTCGTACGATGGATCATGTGATGCATTTGGATCTCTACAAAGATCACTTCTCCTACGAGTGTCGACCCTATTTTTCATCTCAATGTGGGTGCGCGCAAAATTCCACTTTCCACACAAGTGATGAAATATACTAATTTAAGTATTTTGAAAGACATTCAATGCAGTTAGAAAAGTTCAGGGTGGAATCGTTCATTTATGCGAACTCTGCACGGAGAGAAATGTTCAGTAAAAATTACGGAACTCTCACTTCACTCACCGATTACGGAATCGACTCAGAAAATTTAAGTGACGGTATCGTAATTTTTCACAAGAGATTCAGATTAAAATTACGGAACGCTCCGGAAAAATTCCGTTAGAGTTCCGTAAAATTTCCTAGAACCACATTTCGCCCCGGAATTACGGAAAAGATACGTCATTTTCTGTACTGCTTCTCACGATTTCTCGTCTGGGAATTGGTATTACATACTTCCCAAACTCGAAAACTTGAAAATCACTACAGAAAAATATTGTTCCTGGGCTGTTGCGATGGGGTTTTTTTACTCGTGTGGTTGGCCAGTCCTCGCCTACGGCTCGGAGGCCAACGCCACACGAGTAAAAAACCCCATCGCAACAGGCCGGAAAAATACTATTTTATTGAATATTTCTCTCCGTGTGATTAGTCGAAGCAGGGAATCTCGGAAAGTGACAAAATCTCATTTTTTATACACTATAGTCAGAATATAAAAAAATACAATCATAGAATATTTCGATACCAGTGCGTAAAATTGTTCTTTGATCCGTGGGAGATGTGTAGCGCTCGCCGAACGCGAGTGCTATCCTCCCAAGGGTCAAAGGACACTTTTCCCACAATTGTCGAACCCTATTTTTTGCGGAGCGTGCGTAAAATTTCACTTTCCACACATCGTGACGAAAAGAATATTGAGGCCGGATTCGGGTGCGATATTTGATGTGGGATGACCCATAAGCAAATCATCTTGAAAATTGAGTATTGTGAAATTGATTCACACGATGAAAACAGATTTCTATGAATTGTCAATAGATTTATCTGTAGCCAAGTGGTAAATATACTAGTTAAGTCGAAATATTGCATACCGACTATTTGGAACAAAAAATACTTACAACTTTTTCGTAGAAGAATTTATCTACTACTAAGAAAAGTTAAATTGCCGAATTCTTCTAGCTCATTCATTCTTGAGATAATTGCGGAATAATATGATGTTTTCAAGAATTCCAGGCATATAATACCGAACATCTCTGAAACTGTTGAGCGTAGAGAGAATGTCATGCAAGCTTTGTAGGACACAGAATATTCTATCAAAAATGTCTTTTGATAATTTCCTCTGAACGTCTGTAAAATAATCATCAAATCCATTTCAGTAGTGAAGTGGTAAACCGGTATAAGTCGATTTTGACTATTGTTTTCAATGAATATCTCAAAATCTAAGGGAAATAGCAAAATTGGTGTCATGACCTTTTTTGTAGAGCAAATTGAGAGCTAGAAAAAAGGAAATTACAATAATTTCGCTATTTCCCTTATATTCCGAGATATTTATTGAAAACTGGCCAATAGTCAAAATCGACTTATACCGGTTTACCACTTCGCTACTGATGTGTTCTGGACTCATCTCCTGACTCGTAATTAGCACTTCATTATTGAATGAATGTTTGTTCACTTGAAAAAAATTCTTTGTTGCATTGAACAAACAATGCAAATGTTTCAAGTATGTAAAAGTTCAAGATAACAGAGTTAAATCATTTTCTTTCCTTATTCTTCTTAAAAAATCAATGGGAACATTCACACGTTCACTCAGATATCCGAAAATTGTCTGCCAAAGCGCTAATGAAGCATTAGATAAGCGAAGCCATTAGGATCTGGACGAGGATGGTTAATAATCAATGAAAAAAACCGCAAGGACCTACACATGCGCTTCTTAGAGGGTCAAAACAATGAACGAAACCAAACTCTCATGCAGGATAACTCCCATAAACAATAAAGCGCTGTATCTTCGGATTGTGGAGAAGCATAAAGCCTAACGAGTCTTTTCAATGCTGTAGATAAACTCGGCCAACTAAGAGGAACGTCTCGATACTCAATTAACTCTGCACGATTTAGCAAGCAGGATTGTCTTGTCAACATTGTCATACTTTTCTACTCGACAATTTCATCATTTTATCTTTTTGAGTCTCAGGGGAAGGATCTACGAGGCCAGGCACGATGCGTGATTTTAATTTCTTTTTTTTTTTAATTTCACTTTAGGTTTTCTTTTCTCTTGAGTCAGGTGCGAACCGCGGAGAGCTGCTGTCTGCTCCGAAAAGGATATTTGACTCTATGGTATTCGTTACAATGGAGATTTTGCTGGAAATTTCCAGAAGAAAGAAGACCAAAGCAACATTTCAGTAGTGAAGTGGTTGACTTTACTCCAGAAAAGATGAGATTTAGATAAATACCGTTGATGTTTCTTACGAAACGAATTACAAAAATGAAATATGAAAAAGATACTGAAAAAAATGTTGCAATCACTCTTCATTTGCGAGATAGATTCCAGGAACTAATTGCAGAGGAAAACTTATTAATCTCATTCCCAATGAAGAAATTTTCAACAAGATCTTTCTTCTAGTTCTGAATTGTCGCAGTGAAAAAAAGTGTTCACAAAAATTGCGCCAACTCCTCTCAGTTCCAAGACCATTCCTTAAAAAATAGTCATTCACTTCTAGTTTCACCACTTCACTACTAATAATTTTGAACATGATAATAAGAAATCGAGCCAATTGTGAAGATCGAAAGCCTTCTAGAAGTTTTCCAAGGGTTTTGAAGATTTTCAAAGTTTTTCGATGAATTTTTTTAATTAAAAAAATCACAAAATAAAATAAAAACAGTAAATAATTTTGATTTAGAGCGAAGTGGTCAGCAAGCTCACCGCGCGTCCAAGTGGAAAAAATAAACAAAAAATAGGGGTAGAGACAACGACCAAGCGATTCGTTCCGCCTTCGTACCATGACAATGAAAGAAAATCTCCACCTCAGTGATGATCAATAAATAATAGGAGTGGATCGATTTATATCGACAGTTAAGAATGGCCAATCGGATTTTCATCTTCCACAATCACGGTATTTCATTGCGTTACGTTTCGCGCCAGCCAGCCAGCATTTTTTTTTTCTAAAAAGTGGTAAGTGCTTACTGTGCGGAGAGGTGGGGTGGAGTGGGTGATGGGGTTGGGTCATATTTCCTGGGACGGCCGCGAGACAGATGCCGTCGCTTTACGAACTCGGCGTCGTCCACCATCCAGAATGACCCAAAGTCGTCCTCATAGCGCACAAAACACTTGTGCAATGATAGATTGGTGCGGATGGCGTTCTGTATACACAGACAAGAACCACCAAGAAATAGAGAAAAAGAGAGTAAAAAAGAGAACAAATTGTTTTTTTTTCTTGTTGATCTTTAGATTTTTCTAAAAAAACCAAAATTCAATCTTTGTTTTATTTTTTTTCCTCTCATCGTTCGTCTCTCGTGATTATTTTTCTTGCGTTGAGCTTCTCGTTGGCCTCAGCTCTCCCACGATGATGTTTGTCTCATGTTTATTTTTTATAGCAAATTGTTGATAATTTTGAATTTAGCTCAATTCAAAAAATTGTTTACGAAAGAAAGTGACAGTGAGAGAAATATAAAAAATGACACAACACTAAAGATTTTTAAAAAAGGGGGTGGGGTTGGATAATAATATGTAAAAAAATAGTTTCATTTGTCCGGCTCTCTTCTCACTACCTGACACGTGCAACACACATTTTCAATTATAGATAATTGTATATTCAATCGTAAAAAGATGTATTCTGTTGGAGGATCAATGCAACCAGTGATTTCACTCCAATCACTAGACCCCTGTGGACCATTGAGGGCCACATCTCGCGCGATCTCCTCTCGGGTTAGTCGCTGCAAAGCCCATCATGCTTGTTAAGCCACACTCTTTATATATTCTTTTTTGGTTCTTTTTATCTACTCCTACACTCTCGCTCGCTTATCGTTTTCACATCCACGCAAATTTTGTTTTTTTTTTTTCTGTTATTTAAAATCCTCCAGACGGCGCTTGCGCGAACGGGCAGATTTGCTGGTATTCTCACACACGGTAAAAATTCAATACCTTTTGAACAAATTGTTTTTTTAGGATTTGCTGAACTTCGTAATTTTGAAATTATTTTACTAGTGAGTGATTTTCAGAAAGAATATCCGTCAAAAATTTATGTTTCATGAAAACGGTAATCTGTCATTTTTTCTCAGAATTTTCGAGACCGTTGCGTCATTATGAATATCCAAGTATCTTTTATAGTTTGGTACAGATCACACTATACACTGGAAGAAAAATGAACAAGTTGTCAAACAAGTATGGTTTGAGCCAACAAAACTGTTAGTTGAAAATTAAAAAAAAAAAAAAATGATTGGTTTGAATTTGAAAGTCTCAAACATGAATAGTTGCTTTGCTTTTAACAACGATGAAATATTTGGCTCAAGAGGCGGATCATTCATACAAGGAAAGTTTATCAAACAATATTTTTTGTTATAAGATTTATAAGTTATAAGATTAGTTATAAAATTTCTGTCATATTATTCTTATTATTTCATTTAAGAACCTCAGGATTTTACGTTTCCAGCAAAATTGAGATTGAAATAATCCTCGGGATGTTGTGAATGCCTTCAGAGAGCAATGAAAATTGGGCAGTTTCGAAAGTTGAAAGTAATCGAAGTGAACATCTGCTGGGTTTTTTCCGACTAGAAAATTCTGAGAATTGAAAACGCACGATTCTCGGATGGAATAAAAATGATTAATATGCTATAAATATATAAGTGAATTTGAAAATCTTGAATATATAAATGAATAATAGAATATCATGAAAATCGTCGGCGACCGAACAAATATCGAGATTCAATATCAGATCTGCAAAGTTTAAATAACAAAATCATTGTAAAATGTTCGGAAACTTAGGGCCAATTGGGGCTCAATCGAAAGCCCTGATGTTCGACTACAAAAGTAGAAAAGCATTTCACTGGAGAACAAATAGCCAAAGTACTTGAATATCGTCAAGTAACAATTGTTCACGCCAAAACTTGGTCATCTTTTAATGAGTAAAATGAAAAATGAAAAATGTCAAAAAATCGAACTTGCAGAAACTTTTGTCATCTGTACAAAAGTTCTTCTGATACTCTGTCCAAAAATCACTCAGAATCCAGACAACTGGATAATTATATTCAATATGCGTTTTGACTAGTCCAATTGTTTAAAAGGTATTAATTTCCTCAGCAGGCAGACATCCACAACACAAGCTACACGACGAAATAATACCATACTATACCATAAAAATGTATCTAAAAATGATCTAATTCGATGCGATAAAATACACAGATATGTAACAAATGGAAAAATGTATAAAAGGGATAAATGTCAAAAATTGTATATAAAAATGTAACACCAAAGGCGACGGGTAAAAATGCAGATTAGACAGAATAAATGCGACGTGATTAAAAATATGAAAAGTGGAAAAAGTACAAATATCTATAAAAATTTATAAAAGTGCGCACATGTAGAATAGGCAGAGAATATAAAAAATGTAAAAGTACGTTTAAAAACTGTATAAATATTTGATAAAAATATCTATAAAAAATCTATAATAATAAAATTGTTGAAAAAACACTTAGAGGTGGATAAATATTAAGTTGAAAATGTTGGAGAGATTAATTGTAGCAGGAGTATAGCAATAGTACGACAGATTTACGGAAAAAGACGTAAAAAGATGTAAAAATGTGTAATGGAGGAGATACAGGGGAATGAGGAGCAAATTTACAAATGGAAAAATGTAGGAGAAAATTTGTCTGAATGTTCATTGAGAATAAATAGTATATATAAAAAGAGAAATTTGATAGATTTAAAAAATTTTGATCAAAAAAGTAATGAAATATACGAAAAAATACGCGCGTGTCAGGGGGAGGGGTAACGTACCCAGTCGTGCTGCAAGCGCGTTGAGGGCGTCTCTTGTAAAACTCCACTTCGTCCACTGTCCATACTGCCCCTTTCACGTTTTCGACTCGCATGAAACATTTGTGGAGAGACAGGTTGTGTCGCACTGCGTTCTATACAAAATAATACACATACTAAATAAGCAAAAAACGCAAAAAACGAATTAAAAGCCAACTCAAGAATTAAAAATAAAATATGAATGAATCATTTGGTGGATGATGATTAGTGGATGGTGGCCAAAAATTGTGAATTATTCTCTGTTAATGGTTTCTTTTACATGAATTTAAAAAATATATTTAATGAGAGGACTGTAGTACTTTGGTTACAAATTCCGTGAATAATGAAAATATATTTATCATGAAGACGAAATTCTATCAAAGATTCGACGAGAAAGAGACTTGTCGACTTCGTTATTTTGGTTTAGAATTTAATTGTTGAATCATCTGAATAATCAGAGAGAATAAGAAAAGAGCCGACCAAACAGTTCCTCTGAAAAATTTGATTATTCCATGTAAAAAAATCTCTAAATATTTTCTATGAACCAACTAGTCACAAAGATATTTTCAAAATACTCTCTGCAGATTTTATAACTTTCTTCGATCTACCCCTCTGGTACAAATATTAAGATTCTTAATTCTGTAAATAAATTATATAAATAGTAATTGTTGCCTGAATCGCCCTGAAAATGAGGCTAAATATAGTCTACTGATCATGTTCACTAAATTTGCAACCAAGACGTCGACCTCCCCCTGGAAATCAATGTGCCTCACATGTGTGACTTGTCGAAATGATTGAATGATTGTGAATTTGTATGAAATGTGAGATTGGTTGGAATTGCTAATAATAATGAGTTACTATTGTTTACTAAACTAATCAATAATTCAAATAATAATTCAGCAGAGGAGGAATGTTCTGTGACGTCAACAATTCGTGATTAATAGAAGAAGGTTAAATGAACCAAATCATCTAGATAATTAAATCATGAAAATGATAAACAAAATGATTAATTCAAAAAGAGACACGTTTTTGTTTTGCATTCCTGTATCAGTTAAATGCAGAGCTAGGTATCTAAAAAATCTAGGGATAACGACAACAATTATTTCATGCCGCAGGGCTGAACAAGGGTGTAACGATGGGGGAGGGTTGTCTCCATGACAGCAGACTCTCCAGGAACTCTCCAGCGGGAGCATCTTCTTTACTATCATTTTGGACCTGCAGACTTTTCTTTAATATTTTTGAATTTTTCTTGTATACTATGTTTTCTGGTTTAATACTGTTCATAGTTTGTTTTCTCTTTCAATTTTTTCTTTCAGTTTTTCGTTTTGTTTAAACACAGAACCATGCGAGGCGAAGCTTTATGGCAAAACGTTGATTACACACTCATACTCTCGATTTTCAGTCACTCACACGATCCCATTTGTACCATTCTTTTTATTCATTAGAATTTATTCGGTCAATTTTTAGACTTTGCGGAGAATTTAAGAATCAATTTCTCTGCACGTTTATTGAGGTAAAAATAGAAATAGATTCTAATGAATTTATTAGAATTCTTCCCCCCTTCCCAGAAGTGTCGAAGACACCTTAATCACTCCACCGCAGCCTGTTGATGGAAAATTTAATTATCCTACAAAATTAATCGTCTAATTTGTTTTCCGTCTAAAAATGAAACAATCACATCTAATATTTTCCTAATTTCGTTTTACCGTTACCTCTCACTATTTTCCCGAATTGACGAGTGACAAGGTAATTTACCCACTTCAGCAATTTCCTGATTGAACCCTTGATAAGTCATGTCTTCGCGTAACGCAAAATATTTTTAGCTGAAATTCTAAACTTCTAGAGAAATATTATTTTGTTTTTCGATGGTTTTACGAAGAGTTATACCTTCCATGTTGCGGCATTCCGCCGGAAGTAGCAGAATGTATTCTGGAACCAGTTGTAAATCTCGTTGAGCGTCAACTGCTTGTCCGGCGATTCAATTATCGACTGCAAATAAAATTTGATTTAGTGGAAAAAGCATTTTTATTGAAGTGGTGGAGTAAGACGAGACATGTTATTTGTTAACGCTCAAACTGCACACTTTTAAATATCTTAGCTCCTATTTTTCAGATGAAGTGGATTTCTATAACGCATGATAGTTGATACATCTGATACAGCGATGGAATGCATAGTTATTCAATTCTCTGAAAACAGGTTAACGAGTGAAATTTTGATCTTGAAAAACGTGTTTTTCGACAGAATTTTAAATATTTTGTTCTTTCATTAAAACATTACGATGGCTCCTAAAGGAAACTACGTAATTCACAAAATATTTCCAAACTCAAGCATCTCAAGATTGCGTTCTAAAACCAAGTATCTCAGAGAAAATTCAAAAATACGTAACTCAGTAACTCCGATTAATACTCCGTTGGTCGCGCAAAATTTACGAATGCCGTTGGTCGCGCTGTAAGCGCCGTGCCGCACCAGCATAAATCGACATAATGATAAATTTGAAAGATCTAGGAAAAATCTGAAAAAAATTAAGAGAGATCTAGATCGTATACTTGAAGAAATCCCGTGAGATTTTTATGTTCAATGTTCGGAGTTTCGAAATAAAAATTTGAAAATCTAACTACAGTGGACTCTCCTTTATCCGCCGACTCCGTAATCTCCGTAATTTTACTCGTAGGTTACTAACGAAACTAAACGAAGATTAATCAGGGCTCCTGACTTCCCTTTTTCTGAATTTTCACTGAGATACTTGGTTTCTGTCATCTCCTCGGAGATACAAAGTTTCAGTCAATACTCGTGAGAACGTAGCGTGTCGTGTAAACTCGTTGAATTTATAAGGAAATCTTGAATTTTCAATGTTTTCTGAGTTACGTAGTTTCCTTTAGGAGCCATCAAATTGTATTTGATGTCTTCTAATCGATAGATAATTATTTTGTAGCAGCAACAATACATTCGAAAAATGTGCGGTTTGAGGATTAATTCCGGAATTGTCCTGAAAGATCTATCTTATAATTTGGTCAGCTACAAACAGGTTTTCTAACATTGAGTCCAAAAATGTTCTCCTTTCCCGTCAAATGGTTAATCTTTTTGATTGTTGATTATCTCAGTAGAAAGTAATGTTAGGAAAAATCCTTTCTTCTCTTCAGAAAATTGTCGCGGTAACCAAAAAAGGTCTGGTAACATTTTCTTCCAAAAGCATACAATCCTGAGATAATTGCATAATAGACAACGATTTCTTACTTGGCTCATCATGATAAATTTCATCACAGAAATAAATCATCTGACTTATTAATCAACAATGTCTTTAATAAATCGGTAATTAATTTAACGTAATTCCTCAGGTAAGATGAGGCTGGTAATAACCGACCTGTCTTATTAACGAGGCGTACGTGAACGGTGGTCTCACGTCTGCATTCTTGTAGAACTCCCTATTCCGTTGAATTTCTAAAATAAGAGAATTTCATTAATCCAACATTACCCAAATTTTCGTGAAAGCTTGATGATATATTTGGAGTGAAGTGGAGTAATAAAATAATTTTCATTATTGAATTAGTAATTGAAATTAAATATTCTAGGAATGTCTGCGGAGTTACGGAGAAGAACGTAAAATAGAACATCTAAATTCATCTGAATTCATTTTCGATCGTAAAAGTGATGTTTTCACGATGTTTTTCTGTAGAATACAAATATATTAATTTTAAATTTCGACAACAGATGTTGATTGTGAGCTTGGTCCGAGCTATGTTTCCAAAAATGTTATACACAAAATCAGTGATTTTGCTTCACTCATTACCCAATTAATTACTCAGCAAATAATTTTTAAAAATTTTGAAAACTGTTCATTTTGTTGAAATTTCTCCACTTCATTCAACCAATACTAGATAAATGATTTTAGGTTCGATTGAGTCATACTACCTAGAGAAATAGGAAAGAGAGGGTCGCAGAATGCTGCATAATTGATTAAAAGAAAAAGAAAACATCAAAGAAACTTTATAATTTTCACACAGCCAAGTAAAACAATGACAAAGCTACATTGGATAACACCGAAATAAGGTCAAGACAGTACCTTGTTGGACGTCAAGGCCAGCGCGCTCCAGCATGTAGGGCAGTCCTACACGGTGGGGAGGGCAGGCAGCACAAGAAACGAAGAAACAACAGATGCATCGGTAAGAGAACAAAAAAAACGAGAAGGGCATTGTTTCAAAAATCATGTTCATCTATCTTGAAATTAATCTGCTATTGTTCATTAGCCTAGCTCATTAAAAAGAAATTTTCGTGTCTTTCGACACGCCAACAAGGTGTCCAGTTAATCGGTTAATGCTTCCAAATAACTTTTATCTTTATTATTCTGATTTATTGATAGATAGAAATGTGCAAGAATTTCAAGTAATTGGGTGAAGAGTCTTGAGTGAGGACCGCAAAGAGCAAATAGCTACAAGACTTGGCCGAATTCATTGTCGATCAGTACAACCTATTGAGAATGAAATGATGTTTCAGTGGAATTAAGGTGATGGTGTTGATTTCGTAATTGAAAATGGATTTGCAGATTATTTTGGAGATATCAAGAGATTTTTTTGAGAACAACATACTTAGTTGCAGAGACACTCAAGATATTTCCGATTTTTAGGCTTCTTAAGGATTCAAACTCCCTCAGTATTGAAGTGATGAAGCATAAGTGACGAGTTATTTTCGGATGAAAGATCAAAGATGTTCTATAGAAAAGGTCCTATGACGTTTTATCTGGAAATCACTCATTGCTGGAATAATCTAATAGTTGATGAATGTGGCGGGCGAAATTTTCGCATAAAATCTTGTTAGCCAATTCCAATTTCAGAGGATACTCAGTGAATTATGCAATTATCCCAGAAACGAGTCATTTCAAGGTAAAGTGATTCATTTTAGGATAAAGATCCCATGATATTTCATCTCTAAATCCTACATTCTCGTGATGCTTTTATGATTAACCTAATGAGATCATCGAATCATCACCTTTCACCCCTTCGAGACAGACACGGGGCCATTCAACTATTACGTCACATGTTTTTTGGGATTTTCAGATCCCCTCTCTCCCTTAATTACAAATCATCGAAAACATATACCCCACGTTGTATATTATTTCCCAGAATCCATGACCCACCTTTCGCCTTTAGTGCCTTCATAAAATTGAACTTGAAAAATCATAATGAGAGAACAAGACAAATAATTAGATAAACAATTATATTTTTCCGTCATTCTGGCCGTACACTGAGAGAAAAACGACAAAGCTCTCAAACAAGTACTTGTGCCAAAAAAATAGTTTTTTTTTAAATTATCAAAAAAGGATTTTATATGCCAAACATGGAAAGAGTGCGCCGCGACGGAGAATTTTTGTCGCATAAATAGATTTAGTACTTACGAAATATTTCTTCATAAATTGTCCTTTGTATGAGATATTTTCAGCTTGAAAAGGCACCGTCTAGTGTAAATTATCCGTCTTTTGAACCAAATATTTCGTTGTTATCGAAAACAGAGCAATTATTCATGTTTGAGACTTCAAATTCGAATTAAACAATTTCTTTTTGGATAATTTTCAATTAACGATTTTGTTAGCCCAAACAACATCTGTTTGAGAACTAGGTTATTTTCTTTTCAGTGTAAGCAAGGCAAAAAAATATCTATTGCCATCACAACATACCAAAATTCTCCTTTGTGTATCTTTGGAATAGTTTAAATAACTGGTGAAACCTCAATTTTTTTAGATTAAAGGGGACGAGATTAAAGCTGTATTTGTCAATTAAAAATGACGAAAAAAATATGTGATACTACAACCTAATCGTATGACGTAATATCTGAATGTCCCCATATATCTTCTTGCAGTCAAAGAATAGAAACAGAGTCCCAATGATGAAAAGCATGTGTAATTTTGAAAATTATCAAGTGTCTGAGTATGAAAATGTCATTATTGAGAGCATATTGTTAGTGCTACCACCACCTTAATCATTTAATTAATCATTTTTCATTAAATTTTACCTTCATTAATATCTATGCCAGATCTATCGATGGATACCCTGCGCCTTACAGTCCCCTCCTCATACAAACCTACGGATATTCAATGTTTTTTCTTTAAATTATCTGAATTCAATTGCGGACTCTTGCCAGCGCGTTGAACGCATTTGTCATAAATAATCAAAAATCAACGACATATGGATTAATAATTAAGTTTATGAATCCTCGTTAGAGCATTTCCAGAGCAGTTAGTAATTAATTGATACAGAATTGCACAAAAGTTAGAGTAATTGTCTTTATTGGTGTTTTTTTTTGTGTTAAGAATGATTAGTCTTACCTCCTGCGAGGGAGAGGGCGGATTTATCACTGATTCTTCTCCGAATGGGTCCAGCCATGCTGGGAAGAGCTCCTGGTATGCTTGTGATGCTGCCGGGCATGTTGGGCATCGGAGGCATGCCCGGTAGATTCGTCATATTTGGCATTGGGGGCATGGGACCACCTGAGGGAGGCAATTGCCCACCTGCTGGTGATCTCACTGCTGATACTAGGGCTGACATCGACACTGTCGAGACCTGGGAGACACTGAAGTTGGGAGGGGGTTGACTCATTAGCCCAGAGGATAAACCCAGCTTCGGTAAACTCGATCCCGGCTGGAAGGAAAATGCGGAGATTTGATCAATCAAGTATAGCGTTGTACCAAATTTTCTTGATAGTTCTGACATTAACGTATCGACGAAGTAATCTAGTAGAGAACAAAATTACAGTTCGAGTCGGCATGACTGCTAAGGATATCCAAGCACTTTGACTATTTTTTCTGCAGTGAAATGCGTTTCTGCATTTGTAGTCGAACATCAGAGATTTAATTTGAACCCCATTTGATCCCAAATTGCCGGACGTTTTACAATGATAGTATTATTTAAACTTTGTAGGTCTGAATTTGAATCTCGATACTGAACCACTAGAAAACATTTAAAAATTGTGAAAAAAAGTTGAAAAGTTTACATTCGAGTGAATTCGGCAACGCTAGAGCCTAAATAACAGACCGGGGAATCCCCGCGGAGGTGACCAGAGTCGCAGGGTCGCGTTTGGTGACTAGACTAGGGTTAAGGTAAATCCCTATAAAGCAGTGCGTTTTTACGATTTCCCCCATGTTTTTCATATCTTTCTTTCCTTTAATAAAAAATCCAGTGTAACATTCTTTGACGCCAATCTATTCGGCGTATTGTGTCATTAGATTTTTTATAAATGATGATAGCATACCTTAAAGATATTACAATAATATTATACTTTATTATATGACATTGTATAATGTATTATATATAATACGTAATGCATGTTATTATTGTTATCAGTTTATTACTTAATTTGTTTTTATTGTGTACATTATATTTTATAATACATATAGTACTCTATTATATATTGTATATTATACATAGCATATAGAATATAGTATAACATAGAATATAATGTAATATACTATTATCGTAATATCTTTAATGTGTGCTATCATCATTTATAAAAAATCTAATGACACAATACGCCGAATAGATTGGCTTCAAAAAACGTCACAGTGGATGTATTATATAATAAAAAAATAGAATACATTCCTGAAAATTTTCCTTCTAAAAACTTCATATTCAGTTCAGAAATCTAACATAGCACTATTCACTACAATTGATATACATTAAGCCCTATGGAGTTGGGCATACGTTGCGGAGCGCGTGGGCTAATCTAGTATTATAAAAATCCACATGGACTTTTGGTGATGAAAATTTGGTACTCGAAATTAAGACTCCAAAATTAATGGTCAGAAACTAAGGGTCACGAGGGTCATATGGGTTATACGAGGATCAGACTGGCTTCAAGCATGAGGCATCGGCCAAACGGGGTTTATAGGTCCGCCCGAACTAGATTTTTCCATCTTATGAGAAAAAGGTTCTTACGATGTTCTTAAACAACGAATCCGTAGTAGATTGATAAATTCCGAATGGAATCATTTTTTTGTAAAATGTTATAGTACGAATTTTTTGCACCACTTCACTATTGAATCATTGGAAATTATTATTTTTCCAATATATAAGGCTCATTAGAATGAATGAATAGATAAAAAATATCCTGATTTATGCTAATGCTTCCAAAAAAGCTCAAAGCACTAGAAGTGCTAACAAACACAAACAGTTTCGGATTTACCAACGTCCCAACTCCCAGAGTGCTAATTTATACACGAAGTTGTAATTAATAATTCATCGTCCGGGTTTTGGCGAATCCTCCCCACTGCCTCCCAGACCTTCTGCGATTTATATCGCCTTAATTAAAACCCCTAACAAGTTACGCAGTCAGAGAATACCAATATCGCATTAGTACTGTCGCCTCTGAGGAATAATCACCCAAAAATATTCTCATTGTTGATGTTAATTCCTTCAATACATTGTTTCTCCTCTACCTCACTCAATTTTTTGCTGCAGTAAAATATGTATTGGGTAGAAACAAAACATGACTCCAATTTTTTTTGGAAATATCGGAAAAATGCGTAGAGAAAGATGGGGTAAAATGGCCCGTGTTTGATGGTCAATAGCTCAAGATTGTCAACGAGAAATTTGTGACATGTGGTGTCAATTCTGCACAGAAATGTAAGATTGAGGTTTTTATACTTTGAATGACTGAAGAGAAAGGTAGCTGGTGCCTGTACCGCCCAGCGGGCAATACCGCCCACCCGTATTTCTCAGGATTGGCTGAGAAAAAAAAAATTTCTTCTTTTATTATGCAAATATTTCATAACAAATAATTTCAACAGAAATTTTCAATTTTCTCCCGTGGAAACATCGTTAAAAGAATCCAAATCATTTCCTACCGAATTCTTAAAATATTATGACCCCAGAATTTAAGATTTTTCAAATTTTCAGTTGGTCCATAACTGAATGGAGTGCGAAATATATGTTCGTTATACATTTCTACATCCATTGCGACCTTTTCGAGAGCAGAAAAATATCTTCATCAGTTATTATTGGCTATTTTATCAGCCTCCGCGTTTGTGGGGAATTCCGCCCAGAGTTTGTGGGTAATGCCGACCAAGGTTTCTATAGGACTGCTAGACTCTGCAGCTATAGGGCGGTCAAGTGACAGCTCGATTGTTTGGGGTAGTCGGTGGCCACTGGAACATCGGGTAAATTCAGGATAATTCATTATTATTCACGTGAAATCTTTCTCAAAATAGAGCCAAAGAATGGAAACGAAGGATGAAAATAGGAGAAATTATAACAGTTGGTCTGCATTTCTCAAAAAATGGCCGATGGCAATTGAATTATATAATTAAATATGTTTAATGTTGATAAAAAATCTGTCCTCTTTACGTCTTCGAGTAAACACCTCGAAGAACCCATTCTAACCGTTTATGACTCCTTGTAGAGTGCGATACTGGAAAAAAGACTCATTTCTCCCAGGTGGGCGGTACATGCACCAGCGACCCTATCGTTTGTAGATTCGCAAGAGAAAAACATAAAACTTCGTAAAATGCAATTATTCGATGTTATGCACACATAGTTAAGGACTGACAAATATAAATAAATTAATATTTATATACGAGACATGTCTTTTCACTACTTCTCCGCAGAATCTACCACACCTTCTCCAATCCCATATATAAAGAAGAAACAACTCACCGATGATTCTAATGATTTCGGTGGTTCAGGCGAAGCTATTTGTTTAGCAACATGCAGATGATGCATCATTGCCGCTAATATATCCCTCTCCTTCTGCAATTGAATTTCCAACTGTGTAACAACTTGCAACTGTACCCTCGCCTGTGCCGTCGACCTGTCATCCAGCGTATGCTCTGTATTTAGATGTCTGCAGAAGAGAAACCAAAATTCCCAACAAATAAGCTCAACGTCTTCTCTTTTTGTTGAATAAAATGTGCGAAGAAAGGAGGATGGATGAAAACAGAATTAGACACTTGGGTTTTCCTTTGATGTCAATTCTTTTCCTCCAGGGGGGGGAAATTCGAAGGAACCACGAAGGCAAGAGGACGGAGGGGGCGGAGGGGATTTGTTAAGGCATGGTGGGGGGATTAGGACAGAGAGGCATAACGATGCGGTCGAATGTCGTGAATATTAATGAGACAAAGGTAATTAGCGTTCTTCTTTTCCTTCTCATTTTTTTTCTCAACGACTTGTTTGGGGACTTGGCGAGACCGTGATTACAGAGAGGAGGGGAGGGGAAAGAAGGTGGGATGAGGGTTTGAGGGAGCCTGAACACGTCAATGCTGAGTAAGGTGATTCTTTTTATCTCGAAAATTCAACAATCCAATTTGGTTAATTTTTGGAAGATGTTTACATGAAACTACAAAACGTTGACTTCTTTTGATTATCAAGAACTGGAAATAATAGAATGAGGTGTGTGAATCTGCAGGGTGGGATGAATGAAAATTTCGTTGTCTCTTCGATGCAAAGGTATTTATAAATGAATACCATTATTTATTTCCAAAATTTATCAGCAGCTCTGTTTGAATTAAAGATTGGAAACATTTTCTGGGTTTAGAGAGCAATTTTTGGAAAATGTTTCTGGACAAAGGCTTTTTAATTATGGGGTGGAGAAAGATTTGAAATACTTACTTGCGGAATGCTTGATAGTCTTCGCAGAGCACTTCACAACTTGGCCACTTGCAGACCCCGTGGCCGTATAGGGGATTGCCTTTGTCATTGCAAGAGACGTCTAATGGTTTTTCATCTAGACCAGATGTGCCATTCACGTCGGATCTTCGACTCAACACCATTGAATTCATCAAACCTGAAACATAATCTTGATCATTTAGCGAAGTGTAAATGCATAGAGAATAGAAATTTCTAATTTCTATTTTTTATTAGAACAACATTTGTGATGATTGTTGAAAATTTCGAATTTTTCATGAATTTCCCTGAAAGTGAGCTTTGTGGTGGTTTCTTTAAATGCGATGTCTCAAATTCATTCAAGTATGTACACGGAGAGAAATGTTCAGTAAAAATTACAGAACTCACAGTTCGCTCACCGATTACGGAATCGATTCAGAAAATGTAAGTGACGGTATCGTAACTTTTCACAGGAGATTCAGGTAAAAATTACGGAACGCTCTGGAAAAATTCCGTAGTTTTAGGTAAAAATTACGTGAAAGTTCTGCAAAATATTCTACAACCACATTGCGTTCCGGAATTACGGAAAAGATACGTAATTTTTATTAAATATTTCTCTCCGTGTATAAATAATTTTTCTATTAACATTTTGTCGAAGGGCTGATGAGAGAGATAGTAAAAACCGTAAAGAAGACAATCGGGTGTATAGAAGAAAGGAATGATTACATAATAATAATCCGATAAAATTTGTAGTCTCTAATTCTCAATCGCTGTCATTTAGTCTATTCATTCTATGAAAAGACAAGGATGGAAATCGAATTGGATTTCTAATCTAATATGGATATTTAGTGTCAAATGACATTGAATTTTCAGTGAAATTCACATTCAGTGTCACTGTCCTGGAAATTCAAGAATATATTTACAGGAATTTTTGGGTTTTCTACTCATTTTCAGGGAAAAATGGAACTTGAATAAAATTTACAGTTCTCTTTGATTTTTCCACGAAATTTTGAATTTTCAATGATGAAATTCCTTGAAATTTCACTGGTAATTAGATTATTATTATTACACATTATTACATAATAATCCGATAAAATTTGTAGTCTCCAATTCTCAATTGCTGTCATTTAGTCTATTCATTCTATGAAAAGACAAGGATGGAAATCGAATTGGATTTCTAATCTAATACGGATATTTAGTGTCAAATGACATTGAATTTTCAGTGAAATTCGCATTCAATGTCACTGTCCTGAAAATTCAAGAATATATTTACAGGAATTTTTGGGTTTTCTACTCATTTTCAGGGAAAAATGGAACTTGAATAAAATTTATNAGCGAAGTGTAAATGCATAGAGAATAGAAATTTCTAATTTCTATTTTTTATTAGAACAACATTTGTGATGATTGTTGAAAATTTCGAATTTTTCATGAATTTCCCTGAAAGTGAGCTTTGTGGTGGTTTCTTTAAATGCGATGTCTCAAATTCATTCAAGTATGTACACGGAGAGAAATGTTCAGTAAAAATTACAGAACTCACAGTTCGCTCACCGATTACGGAATCGATTCAGAAAATGTAAGTGACGGTATCGTAACTTTTCACAGGAGATTCAGGTAAAAATTACGGAACGCTCTGGAAAAATTCCGTAGTTTTAGGTAAAAATTACGTGAAAGTTCTGCAAAATATTCTACAACCACATTGCGTTCCGGAATTACGGAAAAGATACGTAATTTTTATTAAATATTTCTCTCCGTGTATAAATAATTTTTCTATTAACATTTTGTCGAAGGGCTGATGAGAGAGATAGTAAAAACCGTAAAGAAGACAATCGGGTGTATAGAAGAAAGGAATGATTACATAATAATAATCCGATAAAATTTGTAGTCTCTAATTCTCAATCGCTGTCATTTAGTCTATTCATTCTATGAAAAGACAAGGATGGAAATCGAATTGGATTTCTAATCTAATATGGATATTTAGTGTCAAATGACATTGAATTTTCAGTGAAATTCGCATTCAGTGTCACTGTCCTGGAAATTCAAGAATATAGTTACAGGAATTTTTGGGTTTTCTACTCATTTCCAGGGAAAAATGGAACTTAAATGAAATTCACAATTTTCGTTGATTTTTCCACAAAATTTTGAATTTGATCTATTCATTCTATGAAAAAACGAGGAGGGAAATCGAATTTATGGGTATTCCTCCATTATTCGAAAAAATATATCGATTTTAAAATTTTCCGGAGGCATTAAAAAATTACTTTCCTTATGAATTTTTTCACCTACAGAAAATAATGTTGTTACATTTTTTAAAGTAAAATATCTCATTGAATTTTTTTACCATTGGAACTAGCCGCTGACTTTGGTATACTTGAATTCTGATGACTATCCCCCCCTTCTGAAGACTCGGACTTCCATCCTGGCAGTGCCTCACCGGGTAAATTGCCTGACGAGTGATTGTGCCCCTGTAAACTCAGCCCCTGCTGCAGCAGACCGTACTGCCCTCGCGTGATCTGCAACTGTTGAATAATCTGTTGCTGCTGGATTCCTAGTTGCTGAAGTGGCACAGATGATTTCTTCTTGTCAGCAGTCTGCATGAGATGTGTCTGTTGAATGAGGTTCAACTGCAGCTGCTCTTGGAGCTGCTGCATATTCTGCTCCAACTGTTTCCTTCCCAATTCCGCTAATTGATGTTGATGCTGAAAAAAAATTGAGCGAACAGATGAGAAGAAAAAGAAATACAACTGCTTCCACGATATGACCTATTGAATCATAAACAAAACAATTCCTCATGAACAAACTTGATTCCTATTTATCTCTGCAATTGATGGAGCGAAATATTCAATTCTCAATTGCCTCCCCTCATTGAGTAAAACGAAAACATGGGAAAAGTAAGAACTATGAAAGCTGAGTGAACAAAAAAATGAGAGAACATGATTATAAACAATTGCAAAGTTGAGAAAAATCTCGATGAAAAACTCAGCACAACTCCTACACAGGTAATTTCGTCTTGTTGAAGATAAAAATTTGTGCCATTCGCGTACAATAGCCAGAAAAATTATCCTTCAAATATTTAAAATATATTCTCGATTCTTTCAGAAACATTTTTCGGGCTGTTTAACAGGAATGCTGCAATTTTTTATGAAAAAAAAATGGAAATTAGCTGTGTAGAAATTGAATTAAAAAAAAAAAATTCGTAATTGTTATTGTACACATTTTTTCAAAAATTTCGAACAAAAAGAAAACTCTGTAACTGAAAAATTAGAGGCGCTGAACTATTTTTAACATTTTAAGCGTCTGCGGGGCAAACGAACAATGAAACATTAATTTTTTTGCACTAATTGTTCGTTTTCAAACATATACAATCGATCTTCAATGTATGACAAATCTCATTCCAGTAGCCCGCGACTTTTAAAACTCAGTAGTTTCCCCCAGGGATTGGAACAATCATGAATTTCAAAATAAGTTAAATTTAGCTTATGTTGACTGATAACATTACCCAACAATTTTTAATTACCAAATTAATCATCAATAGAATATTCAAATTCCGAAAGAATCGATCAACCAGTAATCGTGTCAGAAGTTTGACCATTACATGTCTAATCTAAAAATTCTTTCATGAAATTTAGAATTATTTACTCAATAGTTAAGAGAAAATTAAAATTATGAATTATTTTATTATTTTCAAATTTCAATTAAGATAAAAAAACCATAGTAATAGAAAGATGCAAATTCTAATAATATTATAAAAAATTACAAATGTAATAATCGTCGACCGATCGCTGGTCTCCGCTGAAAATAAGAAAACTATTCATTTGAAATATATGAATTGTTTCTTCTATTTAAAAAAATCATGTCTTTGAAATAAATAAATTGTTTATTTAATATAATTAAATCCTTTTTCTTGAAACAACTGAACAAGTTTATTCATTTGTAACGAAAATATTCTTGGAGTAAGTAAAAAGTTCAAACAAAGATTTTTATTTGATTTCAAAAAACATGTTTCTGGGCGTCTTTGTCATTGAGTTGTTTACTGATTGAGTACCGGAAATCTCCACACCTATCTATACCAAGAGAAACGTACAATTCTGCCAATGAAATTTGTTTGAGACAAACATATGCCCGAAATTTTCATGCAAAACTTTCCCAGAAATTCTTGTCTGCACACTGAGAGAAAAATCTGAAGTTCGATTTACAATAAGAAAATAGTTGAGGCAGTTTAGGTGAAGGATAGGATTTTTTTTGGATGCGGCACATAACACTATAGTAACTTCACAAGCGTAATTTTTGCAAATCAAAATGCAGTTAAACTACCCAAAGTTCAAAAGTAACCACGACAAATCTATCGTGAGTAGAACTATAAAATAGTTGCAATGACTACATTCCATTATAGTAATCACTTCTCCGGCCATAGTTACCGTAACCCATGTAAAATTGTTGAGGACTTTTTGACTATAATTCGATGATGATGGGATATAATCAGAAGAATCATATTTTTCTCTCAGTGAAACGAATTTAATTTGCAGAATTAAATTTTTCCTCAGTAAAGCCATCAAAATGCCGTTCCTTAAGCCAAAAAATAACATTCAAAAAATAGGAACAATGAAGAGACAGTACAGGAGAATCGCCCCCTCCCCCGCCCCTTCCCGAAAAAGAAAGAAATTCGTCACTCGTGAGGTGGAGTAGTCTCGTCGAGGAAAGCAGATGCAAAGAATAACGCCGCGTCTTCTTGCCGACGGTGATGAATAAATCAGAAGGGGCGAGGAGGGGGAGAGGGGGCGGCCAGTGAGAAGGAAAAGGGGGAGCATGGCATAAGTGGAATGGGTGGGTGGATGGTTTTGGCCCCAGCATTTTATGGGATACCTCGAAGACAAACACCGAGACACAACGGCTGACGGCGTCGCTTAATTGCCCGAGCCCTCTCCCCTCCTACCTCTCACTTCATAACCCTCCCCCCTCCCCGCTTCGGGGTGTTTTCTTCATCCCCTCGTGGCCACCCTGCGAATACCAAACCATGAGTTTTTCCGGAACGTCGTAGCCCATCCACTAGTCTTTTGCGAAGGGGAAGGCAGGGTTGTGTTTCGAAAGTACGAGGTAAAATGCCATTCATCATATCAGCATAAATGAAAGGGACGATAATGCGATAATGACCATTGTAAATGATAATATGTATAGGGGGATAGCAGGAATTTGTTTTAAATATTTTGGATCTGGAGGAATGATTCATTTTAGCTATTTGACCTGTTGGGGGAATTTTCCTGTCTACTGATGCATTAGTTTTTGCATTGACGTAGTTCCCTATTAAGATTGTTTAAATTAAAAAGGCGGTGGGGGTGTTGCGAAGCATTGCTTCAAAATTATTTGGTATGTGTGTCAATTGTTGGAAAAAAAGAGTTTTGACGGCCTGAGATGATCGATGTTTACAATTTTTAAATGATGACTAGTAGTGACTGTTGACCCTTAACTTGACCTAAATTGTGAATTTTCTGCTTGTGATTTGCAGGGCTTCGCACGAGACAAGACGAGACGATATTTCGAAGAATCTCGTCTCGATCTCGTTTTTAAAGAATATAATGATATCATCTCGCTCTCGTCTCGGTCTCAAAAGTTCTTATCTCAAAAGATCTAGGCGCGCGCTCTCGCGCGCGCTGATCTATTCATTTGTTGAAATGAAGAAATGGAATTCATTGAATTTCATTTTCTCATGAATACCTTATAAATATTGATAATGAATCAAAGAGAATTCGACTAATGATTGAAGTGAATAGCGAAGTAGAGTAAAAGAATCTATAAAGAATTTTTCATTTTCAATTCATTATCTTCAATTTTTTTTAATAATCGGTCTCCATAAAAGGACAGAATTTATTAATTTCACCGATGATATATATATCATCTTAAACGCTTAAAACGCTTTACCACTTCGCTACTAAATTGGTTACTTATGATTTTGGATCACAGAGAAATGAAGATAATGAGGTTTGGTCCTGATGAAGACCTCAAAATCTGAGGTCGAACCGCCGACAGAATTTCACATAGTCTTATTTGATGGTTTATTTCATGACCGCAAGGCCAATTAATCCGTGATCTATTATCAACAGTAGAGTTTCCAACTTTATAAATTTCGGGATTTGGTGGAAGGACAGGAGGAGTCGTCAGACCGAAATTTCCAGCGGAGATTTTCCCAGTTTTTTTCATAATTCCATTAAAATATTTTTCTATTCGAAACTCATCGTTTTTTATGAACAAATCATCGGACTATTTTACATTTGGTATTTCGATCTTTAGTATTTGAATATTACAAGTTTCTGACGACCTGTTTCGATACATGTAATTTTCAAGTTACGCACTCACGAAGTTTCGCTTTGAAAACTTTACTGTTCAATATTTAGAGGAATGATGGAGCAAAGAAGGTCGTCATATTGGGTTTTTCATAGTGGACACGGTGCACTGTTGAAAATTTTTAGCTGAAATTTCCGGCAGACTTTTTTGAAATTTTTATCGAATTTAATTACCACTGAAATTTCAAGGAATTTCGTCATTGAAAATTCAGAATTTCGTGGAAAAATTAAATAGAATTGTAAATTTCAATTCCATTTTTCCCTGAAAATGAATAGAAAATCAGAAAATTTCGGTAAATAGATTCTGGAATTTTGCAGGACAGTGACACTGAATGCGATTTAGGGGGAAAAATAATGAGATTTCAGATTTTTTTTTATTGTTATTTTACATCGCTTCGACCCGGTTAGGGTATGCTGCGATGATGATCAAGACTTTAAATGGTTAGATCTCACCATTCTACCCGACCGGGTTTTGAACTCGGAATTTTTCGCACGTGAGGCAACGAACTAACCCACTGCGCCAAGCCACCGGGTAAATTTCAGATTTCGCTGGAAATTTTATGTAATTTGGCGCAGAATATTTCTATAAGTTTGAAAATTCAAATAAATTAAGAAATTCTCGTCTTTATGCCACTTAAAATTCTGGAATTTTACTGAATTTTCAGTGAAACCTGAAATTTTATGATTTTTTTCCTCTAAATCGCAATCAATGTCCCTGTTCTGAAAGAAAGAACTAATTAAATAGATTTTTCCATGCGTTCCAATGAATTGGAATATTTATAAGAACATTTCCATTAGAATTGATCCGGGTTTGATGTACATTACTCCACTGACACTAACATCTCCATGAAAATCGACAAGTACATTGTTACCTTTGATCGAGGACAAGAAGATGGCTGAGGAGGTAGAGGTGAGGTCAAGGAGTGTATATTTTCACATGGCCATTCAATATTTATCCAAGCAGACCGTCCAACTCCCCTTACAACAACTATAGCACAAGTATTTATATAACCACCCCAGTCCATTTCTGCTTATTGCATTGTATTGTCCACCTCTAATTGTATCTCAACTATTATCGTTCTTTCCCACTCGGTAAACAAACATTTTCCCATTATTTGCACTCGAGTGTACTCTCGAAATAACGTACGACTCTCCAAATATTGAAATAACAAGTATTTAAATTAAAATTTAAAAACCTGTGAGAGTGAATTTTTTGTGTTATCAAATAGAATAATTCAATTGTGGCCGTTGGAAAGACAGAGCAATTCTCCGTTTGGAGAACCTTACCTCATTAGTTAGTAAATTATGAAAAAAAAAAAAAAATTTCGACCTAAAAATTGTGAAAGTTGTTTTTGTTGAAC